TGTGCAAGTCTTTTGCCTCCTTGGTTTAGCTTATTTCTATGTATTTTATTCTTTTTATGCTAATATAAGTGGACTTGTTTTCTTAATTTCATTTCTGGATTCTTTGTTAATATATAGGAATAAAACTGATTTTTGTGTTGACTTTGTATCCTGCAACTTTGCTGAATTTGTTCCAACATTTTTTAAATTTAAAAATTTCCATTTTTTAAATGAAATTTTTAGGCTTTTCTACATATAAGTTCATGTTGTTTGCAGAGATAATTTTACTTCCTTTCAAATTGGATGCCTTTTATTTTTTTCTTGCCTACTGGCTCTGGCTAGCACTTCCAGTACTATGTTGAACAGATATTGTGAAAGTAAGCTTTCAGAGGAAAGCTTTCAGTCTTTCACTATTAAATATATTAGCTGTGGGTTTTTCATATATGGCCTTTATTATTTGGAGGTAGTTACCTTCTATTCCTAGTTTGTTGAGTGTTTTTTATCATGAAAGGGTGTTGAATTTTGTTAAATGCTTTTTCTGCATCAATTGAGATGATGTTTTTTTCCCCCTTTCTGTTACTGTGTTGTATTACTTTTCATGTTGAAACTTCCTTGTATTCCAGGAATAAATTCCACTTGTTCATGGTGTAAAATCCTTTTATTATGCATCAGACCCCCACCAAGTGCACCTAGAGGAAATGGCTAAAGAGTGCTGATGGAGTGCTGCTGCCCCAGCTGTAGAAAGGGATAAGGAATCCTTGGTTTTATGCTACGTAACAAATTATTATAAACGTAGTGGCTAACACTTGCAGGCACCTGACACAACACACAGGGGGTCTTTCTTTGCTCATGGGCCATCACATCCGAACCTACACCACCACCACCACCCCACCACCCCCACCCCCCGGTTGGTGGCAGAATTCAGTTCCTTGTGGTGATAGAACTGAGGTCATGTTCTTGCTTTGTCTCTCAAGGCCTGCAGAGTGCCTCTGCCCTCCACTAGGCATATCACAGAATCATGATTGGTTTCTCCTCCTCGCCACAGCTCTGCCCACGCTCAAGGAGAAATCCTGGGCATGTCCTCCAGGGGTAGAATCCCAGGATGATCCTAGAATCCTGCCAGTGCCAGAAGATGGCTGGTGGACAAAGGACCTTATTGCCCTGGCAGTGCTGCCTTGGAGTTGTCACACAGACACACAAGCAGCCCTGGGGAAGGCCCCAACCCTTGAAGGAACCACATCTCTACCAAGCATGTGTGTTTGCTTAGTCTCAGTCACTCATCATTCCCCAGCTGGAAAGTCTTTGTCACAACCCACAGGATTGAACCAGGGGACCCAGCATGAACTTGGGGGATTCAGAAGCTGGTCAGCACCACCTGCCCTGTACACCTCCAGCTCTGCCTTCGGGGAGCCTTCCTCAACCTCACTGTTGCCCAATCCATATCACATCCTGTACCAGGATCACCTAGGTTGCCCAATCCGTATCACATCCTGTACCAGGGTCACCTAACGGAACCTGGGCTAGTCCTGGCTGACATAAAAATAAATCTACGGACACACTGCCAAGCGCATTCCCAGACAGCATGCACAGTAGCTTCTCACATCAGGGATTTTAGTCATCAAGCCAATTTTGGAGGACAAGCTGGAGCCCAGCACCTTTCAAAAGAGCTCCTCCGAACATTTGGTCTGGCTCACCAAGCCGCAGGTATGCAGGATCACGCTTATTTTCGGCTTGGCTTCACCAGGTGGCACATCTAGCTTGGGGGCAAAGCCTGTCCTTGCTTACTGAACATGCAGCACCCAGCCAAGTGACATGATGGAAAGGGAGGAAAAGGGCCCAGAGAAGCAGCTTCCTCAGTGTGACACTGTAATACCACCACCACTGAACATGGCAGATGACAGGCTGTTACACAGAAATGAAGACGAGGGGCCAAGTGTAACAGGGTCCCCTTGCCAAGGCCTTTCGTGAGCACTCCCCAGGCCTGTTCCAGGCATCCAGGCAGCCCTACATTCCAGTGGGGTGTGGTTGGTCATACAAGTCTGGAAGGTGGACAGGGTGTATGCAGAAGTGACTGCAGGCGGTAATGTGTAAGGGGAGGCACGTGTTTTTTCCCCTCACCCCAAGGCAGGAAGTCGGTACTAGTGCCATGGGGGACCCCTGTGCTCCTGACCTGTGACGATCACAGCCAGAGCTGAATGAAGGGCAGAGCCATCTGCTCTTGGGTCAGTTATTCTCATTCCTCACCAGGCTCCCACGCCAAGTAAATACAATGGGTGCCACCAGGCCATCCAGAGGTAGCCCCTCCACATCCCTTCTTTCACAGGTGGATTGCCAGGTACAGCTTAGGTTCAAATTCCCATGCTTCCACGTCAGCTCACCTTTATATAGGACACAATTTCCATGGAAATCAGTACCTTACGGTTAATTTTAGGTGTTAAAATAGTCCTCCAAATTACCTGGTGTAGCTGTTGGGTACAGGAATGCACGTCAGATGCAATTTAGACTTGCACCTGCAGGGCCACAGGCTCCAGACCAGAAAACATTTTAAGTTCCAAGGCTGCTGCTTTCACAGCAGGCCCTGCTGTGATAAGGGACAAGAATGGAGCCTTATTTAAGCATCTCACTTGTAGAGAAACCAGACTCTGGTTTCAAAGCAACTCAGGCATCAAGCAGCTGTCAGGGATACAGGCAAAGCAGTGCTCACCCACAAGGGGAACGCTTGGCAAAGCTCCAGCCTCCCTCTAGGGTGGGCAGTGGGGAAGCCCTGGCTACCACTCCTTGGCCAAGCAGGCAGTGGGAGGAAGGCACAGTCAGAGGCTGACTTTCTGCCCCAGAGCACACACGCACTGCATGTCTGGGTGAAGGGCTGCAGACAGGCTCAGAAAGAATCTGGGTGCGATTCAAAGCAAGGGTGAGACCCTAAGTCAGCAGTTCTCAACCTTTCACAGGGGTCACCTAAGAACGTCGGGAAACATATTTTCGATGGTCTTAGGAACAAGACACTGCTCCTCTGTCTGTCTCCAGGCCACATACAGATACACCCACATAGAGTACCTGGCGACCTCTGTGAAAGGGTCGTTTGACCCCCAAAAGGGTCGCAACCCACAGGTTGAGAACTGCTGTCCTAAGTCCTACGATGCTAAAATAACTAGAAAATTGCTCTGGTTAAAACAGGCAACTCTACTAAAAAATCAGGATTTGTAAACTATCCACGGAATCCTATTAATCACCAACAATAGTCCTAAAATATAGAAAGGAGGATGCAATCCTGTCCCTGGGCTGCCTTGCAAGAACACCCTCACCCCAAGTGAGGCCCCCTACCCTGTTCTTACACAGACAGATGTCAAATGGAGACTGCAGATTTATCACAAGTTGCCAAAATAACTTTATTTTTTCTTTTCAACATCCTGTTCTGCAGCTTCCTTGGCCCTTTTTGCCCGGATGCTAAAGAGCCAGGCATTGGCATGGGCCATGCGAAGGCTGGCAAATGCTTTGAAGTTCTTCTCATCCTCTGTGATGACCCTGGCTTTCTCCTTCTTGTAGACCTGGAAGAAGCACAAGGAGTCAAACTCTGGCCTGCAGTGAGGCCTGTAACAAGGCCCAGGACCCAAATGTCAGCAGAACCCAGAGAGGTATTGGAAAGAGATCAAGTAACGCTAGAAAGGCTACACAGAGGCCACCAAGGAAGAGAGATGCCCTCTCCCAGAGGAACCTCAAGGGCCCAATCACTTGATGGGCAGGTTACAGAATCATCAAACATGCCCTGAGGTTGCCTATGGCCTGGGGCTTCCAAATAGCAAGGAGGGAAAAAGGACCCAACAGAGGGAGGAGTGACAAGGGCCCTGAAAGCGAGGATAAGGCGTTCCTTTGAGGAGTCCATTTGTTAAGAATGCAGGATGCGCTTGTCACCCTTTACTCCCTTCAATCCAATCTCCACCCCAACACATGTTCACTTGTGCATCTTCCCAACACCTCCACTTACATTCCGTATGGGCATGACTGGTCCTGACAGCTGGGTAGCCAATTTGAGTTCTTCAGCCTGTTAAAGAGAAGGGAAAGTCAAATGGACTCAGCTCATTTCTGTAAGAGCGCCAAGCTTATAATCCTCTAAGCCAGCCCCACATCTCTCACTGGGTGACCGTGTGCTTGGAAGGGATAGGTGTCTGCAACTGCAAGCACACATTTGCGGGTCTAGATGCCAAGTAATGGCATGCCACCAGATTCCTATTCTATCTAGCTGACAGAGACACAGGCAGATGTAAAAGAGCATGTATATCTGAATAAATGCAGATATAACAAAATGTCAGCTGAAGTGTAAACCACTCCCAACCCAACTGCAGAGAAGCCTGAATGGATGGACACGATCAACTTTATTCTAAAGGTTCTTCTATTAATAGAAATTTTTGTGTATACAGAAAGCATTTNGGGTTGCCGTTCCACTCTGTTGATAGTGTCCTTTGATGTAGTTTTTAGTTTTGATGAAATCCCACTTACCTACTTTTTTTGTTGTTTATGCTTTTAGTGTCATATCCAAGAAATCATTGCCAAATCCAAAGTCAAAAATTTCCCCTAGGTTATCTTCTAGAAGTTCTACAGTTTTAGCTCTGATGTTTGTCTTTGACCTGTTTTGAATTGATTTTTGTATGTGGTGTAAGGTTAGGGTCCAACTATTTTTCTTTTTTGCATCAGGATATCCAGTTTTCCCATCACCATTTGTTGAAAAGATTATCTTCTTTCCCCATTGTATGGTCATGGCACCCTTGTTGAAAATCATTTGCGTATATATGTGAGAGTTTATTACTGTGCTATTTTATTCCCTTATTCTATGTCTGTCTTTTTGCCAGTACTACACTACGTTGAATATTGTAGCTTTGTAGTAAATTTTGAAGTCAGGAAATGTGAGACCTCCAACTTCGTTCTTTTTCAAGATTATTTTGGCTACTCAGGGTCCCTTGAGATTCCAAATGAGTTTTACAATGTTTTTCTGCTTTTTCAAAAAACATCTTTGGGATTTTGATAGAGATTGCATTGAAACTGCAGATTGCTTTGGGCAGTATTGTCATCTTAACAATATTGTCTTTCAATCCATGAATACAGGGTATCTTTCCATTTGTGTCTTCTTTAATTTCTTTCAGCAACATTTTGAAGTTTTTGGTGTGCAAGTCTTTTGCCTCCTTGGTTTAGCTTATTTCTATGTATTTTATTCTTTTTATGCTAATATAAGTGGACTTGTTTTCTTAATTTCATTTCTGGATTCTTTGTTAATATATAGGAATAAAACT